AAAAGGAAGAAGATAGAAGGAAAAAAGGAATCATTGGTTCCAAGCAATTTTGAAATCCAGCTGGGCAAACAACATTAGTTTTTAAGACTCGAGAACAATTCTCTGTGGTTTATGGCTTATCCTCTTAGCTCATGGCTCTGCCCTCAGGGTTCACATCTATGACCTTGGAATTATCCTTCTTTTCTTTTTCATGAAGGGTAGCACATGTCTGCAGCTAAGTACTCTTATCAGCCTATTTCCTGCCTATAGAATTTTAAGAATCCAACAGCTTTCTTTCATTTGTCCTCTCTCTGTCCCTTTCAGTCCAAGCTGCCACTGTTTCTGCTGGTATAACATTCTCAAGACCCTTGTTGGTCTCCCATGTATATCTTGGGAATTCACGCCATTAAACAAGAGGCTCCTCACAGACCCTTTTTAGATAATCTCTACTCCTGAATTCTGTTGAGACAGCTGAGAGATTCCATGAGCCACATGCCAAATCTCCTCAAAGAGCCTTCTGTGTGAATGAATATTCTGACCTTTTGATCCTTGTGAGGCATGAGGAAAAGGTTGTCCAGACATACTCTGGGTTTTCTCTACAGGGCATACTTTTCTGACCATAAATATCCTAATTTCAGTGTTTTTTATAATCTGAATAGGCTAAGAATTTCCCAAATCATCAAGACCTGGTTCTTTGATTAACAGTTCTTCCCTCAGTCTATCTTTTTCCTCTCATATTTTACTGCAAGCAGCAAGGAGCGATCTGGCCACATTTTTAACACTTTGGAAATCTCCTCAGCAATTGTTCAAGTTCATCACTTACAAGCTCTGCCTTCCACGTACATGTAAGACACAACTGTGCTAAAATTCCTGCCACTATATAACAATGATCCCCTTTTCTCATTTCCTTCTGCGTGCTCACCATCAATGACTTTAGTGTCCATATTTTTACCACCAGTCTTTTCAAGGCAATCTAAGCTTGTTTTCTATCATGCTCCTTAAAATTCTTTTAGCCTCTGCTTGTTGCCCAATTCCTATGTCACCTACACATTTTTAAGTGTTTGTTACAGCAGCACTCCACTTCATGGTACCCAAATCTATACTAGCTTCCTATTACTCCTCTAATGAGCTATCACAAATTTCGTGGCTTAAAACAACACAAATTTGTTGTCTTGTAGTTACAGAGGTCAAATATTCAAAAAAGGGTTTACAAGGCTAAAATCAAGAAAATCAAAGTATCAGAAGGAGTGTGTTCCTTGTGCAGGCTCCAGGGGAGAGACTCTGTTTATTTCCTTCTCCAGCTGTCAGAAGCTGCCTACTTTCCTTGGCTGTGATCCCTCCCAAAAATGGCATCCCTCTGCCCTGCCCTCTGCTTTTGTCATCACATCTCCTTCTCCAACTCTGACTTTTCATGTCACTCTTTCATTTTCAAAGGACCCTTGTGATTACATTGTGCTCATCTGGATAATCAGGGATAATATCACTGTCTCCTGATCCTTAACTTTATCACATCTACAAATCCCTTTTTTCTTGTAAGGTAATGTATTCACAGATTCTGGGGATTAGGATGTAGCCATCCATCTTGGGGTTGGGGGCACATAATGCTGCCTACCACAGGTTCCTGATAGGGGTCTGACGGAAGCCCTAAGATTTCTTCTAAATTGTCACTTCATTGAAGCTCAAACTCTTCCACAGTCCAGTGGGAAAAAGGGTTTCTCCTAGTGGTACCTCCACGAGAGACACAAAGCTTCTCATTCTTAGAAGGCCCAGTAAATGTCCACTTTGCTGTCTGATTGGCTGATGTGCTCAGCTCGAAATTCATCACCATGATCAGAAAGACAGGCTACTCTGCATGACTACAGTGACTCAGGATCTGCTTCTCAATTTCGTAGTCAAGAATGTGGAGAGAGAGGTACCCTCAGAGTAAACTATGAGACCTGCTATCAAAATAAGGAAGAAGGGTTTCTGAGAAAAACAAGCAAACAAACAAAAAAAAACAAAAAAGCCCCACAAATATCAACTAAAATATATCCCTTCACTTTATGGTTGTAAATTAGCCAAGGATAATGACTATATCATATTTATATTTGTATATTGTATATAGATAGCACATCACTCAAAGGTATAATGTAATAATTGGCTTTCTTAAAGAAAGGACTAAATGGTGAATTATCACATTGTCATGTTGACATGACTTAATCTGCAGTGTAATCAAATCCATCGCCTTATATGTACCATTTGACGACAGGTTATTGCTTTTGCAAATACATTTCTAAAATATGTTGTAGAAAGTATTAAAAGTCAGATCATGATATTGGGAGAACAGAAATATATTGAGATGATTAATTATCTAAATTAAAGTAAGACAAGAAATGCAGTTCCACAATGGAGTTCCTAAAAGGAATTATATACTTTAAACCTGGGTCATCTGCTTGGCCTGATCTCAGAAAAATCAGTGTTCCTGTTGCACCTCCACCCTCCATACACATATAACTTAGGGTATATGTGGTTTGAAAAAATAAAAATTTGCATTAATTCACCTTCAGAACTCAAAATTATGTCCGAGTTATTGTATACTTCATCACCACATTAAATCTCAGAAGGGGTCTCTCAACATCTAATGTCTTAAATACAATGTGAAGAATATCAACTACACTGAACTATTTCCCATGGTTCTCATTTCTCCCCTCTTTCCTGTCTGATCTTTTGGTTCCCTTTTTTCCTCATTAGAGGCTGGGTGGGAAGTGGGCCTGGCACCTCTGAGAGAAAGGATAAGAAGAGATCATGCCTCTCAAGTATAAATCTCCAGGCTGTGCACGAGAAAATATTAAACCTGATTCCAAAAGAAGACACCACAGTCCACCTGGAGCCATCTGTCTAAGATAAAGGAGAGTATATTGGGGAAGAGAGTACAAGCAATCTTCAGAAGCTAGTGGTGGAAACAAATGAGGATCTAAGAGGTAGAAAAGTTGATGATTTTTTGTAGAAGCTCATTAGTGAGTGGACTGATGGTCTCAGTTACTCTGGGTTCAGCAGTCAAAGGCCATAGTAAAGAGTAACTTGATCACTAGACCTACTATGTGAGGCTGAGCTGGATGTCTTTAAAAGGATCTGAACAACATGGACCATTTTTGGTTCCTACCCTCCCTCCCACTCTACAAGGACATCCTTTTACTGATATGGGAAACAGAGGAGTTTAGACTCCCTTAAAAAGAGATTGCAGCTCTTCCCTCATGCCATACTCTCTTATTCAATGGTTCTTTACGTTTCAGCAGGTGACAGGCTTGAACTTATTTTGTGCATCTCATGAAAGCTAAAGATTTCCTTCCCAGAAAAAAAGAGCATGTGCGCAGAAGCCAACCATTATCATAAAGTTTCAGGATGCTCATGAACTCCTGAACTCTATCATCAGAGACCTCCCAGAAAGATCCCTGGACCCAGTTGAGAGTCCTTGCTGCGGACCCCAGCCCTGCGCTTTCAGAGGCTTCATTCTTACATAATGGAAGCTTTGAGTGTTTTGAGAAATTTGGAGGTCACCAAAGAGATTCATTACATTTCAAAGAATCCATCAAACTAAGCTACTTCAGAAGGTTTTGATTTAGTGATCTCGGGCAACTTTTCTTTTAACTTTTCCAGGACAGGAAGGCATAGGCATGACTAAGGATCTAAAATATTGCTTTCCAGTTCTAGCATCATGGGAATTTTCCTGATGATGACTTTATCCTGTATTTTTCATGCACCCCCTCCCCCACCTTCTTTTTCAAAGGATATTCACATTGTCTTCTCTCACAACCTGGTGAACTTGGGAGAGCGGGGAAGAAAGGGTGGGGAAGAGGGAGAAAGATTGAAGAGGTAATGTCATACAGTGAGGAATGGAGAGAACCTACAGCTGAACATCTCCTCAAAAGATAGACCTTTTAGCAGAATGGCATTTTGATTCATCATCCTTCCTGGCCAAAATCATTGGTTTGTAAGTTCACTTATTCAGCAAAAATGTATGGGCATTTGCAGTATTCCGAGTCCTATGCTAGGATCTGTGAAGGGTGCAAAGGTGAACAGCATATAATTCTCTCAAAGGAGCGGGAAGTTTCTCAGTGGGGATAAGATAGATAAAGAAACTCAGCTTAAAGTAGTTTCCTGAAAGGGCTTCACTGTTCGCCCTTCCTAAGTTTTCTATTGTGTGTGTGTGTCTATTTGCGTCATGTCCCAGGGACTGGGGAAGTGTCTCTCTTGTTCTTCCCAGAGCACCTTCTCATTACATGCACCATCATATTTACCATGATACTTTATAATTATCCATTTGTGCTTCTCTCCCAACAGATCACAAGCCCCTTGAGGATAGAGACTGAGTCTTACTAAATTTCTTATCTTTATTTTCTGGGAGCCATCAGGGCACCTGGAACATGGTAAATGCTGTAAAAGATATAAAATAAAGCACTGAATCACATCTAGAGGGGAGAGAACACAGATGAAATAAGATGTCCTACATAAAGAGGACCCTAGCTATTATATCAGGAAATGGCATCTGGCATCTGTTCGTTGTGTGTTTCCAGCCCTCGGTTTCCCACCTGTCCTAGAAGGGAGTTGGATTAGGTAATTCATTCCAGATGAAAAAATTCTTTTTTAAATAATACTGAGAGCAGGGAAGGAAGTAAATGTCCTGGCCACCTGCCCGGCTTTAAACACCCGCCTAGGTCTTATAGTCAAATAAAAACAATTTTCTGAAGGTTGAGTGTCCAAAATGATAGCTGCAAACCCTCCAGAGGCTCGGAATGTTCGCAGGTTCCATTCACAAAAGTGACTTCCCACGCTTTGCCCACAGAGGGCATCCCTGCGCATTGATACGTAGACCGGGCGAATGCAGCTGCTGGAAGCCTCCTCCGTCCGCTTTTTTCCCTAAGCCGTCGTCTCTCTGCCCCCACCCCCCTTCCCGTGGAATCTTTGCCTGATCCAGTTCGTTTCCCTCCGGTCTCCACATTTTCCCTTCCAGCCCTCCACTTCTCCGGATCAATGGATAGTACGGTTCCAACTCTCAGCTCACACACCGCTGGCGGACACCCCAGTAACAAGTGAGAGCGCTCCACCCCGCAGCCCCTGCCTCTCCTCCCTCGGTCCCCTGCGCTCTTGGAAGAAAAACGAACAGCATCTCCAGCTCTCGCGCGGAATTTTCTCTTCAACTTTACCCAACCGACGACATGGAACCAGCTTCAACCTTTTAATGCACAGCCCAGCCATAGGATCGCCTGCCTTCTCCTCCTGGTCCCTCCTGGATGTTCTGTTTATTGATGGCTCACAAGCCCCGCGGAGAGCTGTCTTCCCTCCTCTTGCTCCCTCGGGTTCCTTGAGTTAGTTTCCGAGGTTTTACCAGGGCTTGGGATCTCTTGGACCGAATGGAACTTTTTGCTGCCTCCTTTTGCTGCTGATTCTGTCAGTGGACAAGGAAAAAGGCTTCGAAGGCAGAAGAGGCGCAGGGGAGGTGGAGAAAGAGGTGGAGGAAGAGGACGAGGAGGAGGAGGAGGAGGAAGCCGAAGGGGCTCGGCGTGTGTGTGTGCATGTGTGCATGCGTGTGTGAGTGCATGTGTGTGAGTGCCGACACTGCCCAGGACCTCTGGCCCCGAAGGTGTTGGCTGAAATATGGAGAATAGTCTTGGATGTGTTTGGGTACCCAAGCTGGCTTTTGTACTCTTCGGAGCTTCCCTGCTCAGCGCGCATCTTCAAGTCGCCGGTAAGTGGTTCTTCCCTTTCTTCTCGTCGCACCCCCCTCTTTACCCCCTTTCCCTTCTCATTTCAGTAGTAGAATGGGGGGAGTGCAAGATACTTGGCGCTCGCGCTGCCCCCCATTTCCTCACGGATGATTAAAAAAGAGACTTTTTTTCCTCCCCTGGGGGAGGAGGAGGATGGTGGTGGGGGCCAGGGGCGCCCCTTCGCTCTTTTTTAAGCCGATGCTTCTCGCATCTTTGCTTTTGCACATACTTGCGTTCGTTTGGAGAGCTGGCGGGCCGGGGGCAGGTGATGGGGCTGTCATTGAAAGGAACTGGGTTGGATCCTTAAAGCCTCAGAAACCTCCCGAGGGGGGAAGGATGGGGCAACAGGGGCAAGCGAAGGAGGACGTCGAGGGGGCTTTGAGGAAGTCTGTGCGGGATGTAGATGGTCGGGCCGAGCCGTCTGTATGTGGATGTATGCGCCTCCGGGTTTGGATTTCTGGACTTGCTGATTGAGAACCGGGAAAGGGACAGCTAATGTGTTTTGGTACTTGGGAGGAGGGGGCAGTGGTACTGAAGGAGGCGCAGAGTTGCGGGGAGGAGGGAGAAGTGTTTTATTGTATTTTATTTTTTTAACGGTGAATGGAGTTCGCAAGCTGAGTCTCCAGATATCTCCAGGACACCTCCAAACTCCAAATGATTAATGTTCCGGGGAACCGGCCCCCTGGCCTTGGCACTTGGCAAGCGCAGTTTCTAATTAAAAATGGCAAAACTGTGTGGAGATTGGATCGGGCTAGAGGAGCAGAAAGAGGGACCCGGAGGCTGTTCAGGGCTGCTGCAGTCTCCGAAGACGAAGACGGAACTGGGGGCTTCGACGGCCAAAAGAATAGAAAAGAGCAAAATGACTCAGTATAACGTCCACTGGTTTTGCGGGACCTCATCACAAGTGTAGACGGGCACCGAGGTGCAGGGAGGGGCCTGGAGACGGGGGGAGAGGGAAGGAGAGGAGAGCAGCTGGCTGAGCATTCAAGTCCCTTCGGAAACGACCTTTTCCCAAATCCAAAGGAAAATGAGGCGCCGGCAGGGCCGGGCGTTGAGTAGGAGTGCCCCAGTTCGCGCCTTGGAAATTAACAGGGAACGCGATGTAAATCTCAGCCAAGCCCCCAGCCTCCCCAGAGCCCGCAGCTCCGGCTTTCTTGTCCCTGCTAAGTGCTGCGTGGCTCAGGGTTGCGAAGGCGAGCGGAGAATGCGCCTCTTCTGGTCGATCGCGAGGGATTCAGACTGTCAAGCGCCGAGCCAGCCCGAAGCTCCCCAAAGCTCGGTGCGGCCACATGTGGGCAGGAATCTGCGCGTGCACTCGGACTCCACTCCTCATCCTCCTTTGGCCAGACAGAGAGAGCAAGCGTGAGGATGTGTGTGTGTGCGTGTGTGTGTGCGTGTGTGTGTGTGTGTACGCGCGCGCTCCTGTGATGTGCGCGTACCCGCATCCGCGCGCGCCCAGCCACCCGCGCTCCCTCCCTCTCGGGCCGGTCCCCACCTCCCTGGGCTCCTCTCTCCCGGAGCTTTGTCCTCCGCAATTACTCTGGCGGAAGGTGGGCGGGGGGACTATCTCTGGGGTAATGAATAGGTGTCTTTTTTAAATTCCCTTCTCGAGACCGGCAGATGCTAGACGCTGGGGCGAGGAGAGCCCTCCTTCTGTACAGAAGGCTGACTTGCGCTCTCTGGCAGTTTGGGAGACAGCCTGAAGCAGGAGAAGGGAACTTAAGAGGGGGCATCCCTCACTGGGTAGAAAGTCCGCAGAATGGAGGGTCTGGTGGCCTGAGATGCGCTAGCTGAAAATATTGCATTAGGCAAGGTGCGCAGAAATGGACGATGATGTCTTGTCAATTACACAGCAGTATTTTAAAGCCGTTTCTCAAGTGACTTTTGTCTGGGGAAGGGTGGGGGTAGATGAATGAAGATGAATTTCTATATGTTTTATTAACACATTAACTGCCACGTGAGTTGTATTTAACTCACGCTAGTTTTGAGCCCCGGGTCTCCTGAAGCAAAACCTGCAAAACCCTGCAGTTGGTTTGTGAAAACCTTACTTGTTGATGTTCTTACTGATTGAAAAATTAATTCTAAAAATGTGGATTAAATGGATACAAGTCAATTAATTTCATTTTTCATTAAATTAGAAAGGATCATTTTATTTTTGAAGTTTTTATTCTCTTTTCGTAATAAAACACTGTGGCCCCACAGAAAAAAATTTTTTTTTCTCGTGTGGCAGTCAATGTGTTAATATCTAAATTAATTAAATATTCCCTTCTCAGTAAGTTTCTTTTCTAGAGAGTTATGGCCAAATATTACTACTTTATTTTTGTTTTCTCCTAAACAGATTGGTCTATGTTTGTATGCTCGAAAACGCAGGGATACACACACACATATACATGTACATGTACATATATATGAATAATATAGGTGGATAGGCATGTATATCTAAATCATTAAACTTTTCTACACTTCTAAATCCATTTCTGTCATTTGCACATGAATTGTGATGCAGTTTACACAGGTCCCAGAAAAGTGAATGGTGCACTTTTAAGATATTGCTAATTCACATCACTCTGGTCTTCTTTGCTTATTAGTCTTAGTATCACCTCTTCCTGTTAGTAGCAATTTCCCCTTTTGGGGAACATGGCAGGGATGCTTAAGAAAATATAGTTCACTCTATGAAAGGACCAGTAGGAGGTGCCCTTAATAAGGCCAAGTGTCTAGTAGTTTACTGGGAGTGAAATTCCCATTCAGCAGGGTGTTTTAAAGACTTTGTTGATTGGTAACAAAGGATTATGGAGACTAGTACAATAGCACCGGGCCCTTTCCCACTTTCTAGGTAAAGTGTGAAACTGCTATAGAATTTGTATGAAATTGTTATGACCCAACGAAGCACATCCCTGAACAGTTTCAGCATAGAGTGAGGACTTGATGTGGGGGGAGGACGATGGTGGCTTTTTAGTTGGCTTTTGTAAGATGCCATCTTATGTATTTGACATGAGCTACAGGCAGAGGGACCAAGCAGAGTCCCAGGATCTCAGGTAAGATGAAAATTTCAGATGTTAGATGTTAATGAATGAAATAGGAGGTATACGCATTAATTTAATTAATTCTTTATATATGTTTGGGTTGTATTCTATTGAAAAAAATCTGTGAGAGTTCATGTAGTCTGCACATGATGAAATGAGGCTTGCTGCTTACCCTGAACAGTCTCTTCTCATTCCCCCAATTGAAGCAGATCAGATGACCCCCGGTGGGTTTGCTGTTGAGTGGCTGGACCATGGCAGGACCTGAGGGTGGGGGTTAGGCTGGCCGTCCACTCATCTGTGAGTGCTGCAGTGTCAATCACCAGTGACCTGCCACGGTGTCCATTCACCACACAGCAGCAGCTGCCCTCTGAGTTATGAAGCATGTGAAACAGCCACCACATGTGTTATATGTGAATATATTAGGCTTAGTGCCTTTGCTTTAATGCTCTTAAAAGCTGGGCTGGCTTGAGCTGCTGCTAGGCATTTTTTCTGGGGAGAGATTTATAACTTCTCAGTGTGTATGACTTACATTTATTCACCAGCAAGTTAACCTCTCAGCAAACTTCCTTATTGTTTTCATTGAAGAGGAAGAGCTTTAATCCTATCTAAATTCATGAATGAAGCTCTGCTGAAAGTTTCTCCTGGAGTACAGGGTATTTGCAGGCTGTAGTATGGTTTTATAAACCAATAGGAAGCTTGACAGGAGATTTGGGGAGGTGATTTTCCTGGGGAAGGGATACTTTTACTTGTTCCTAAAGAAGGAAGGAATAATACTGCATCTTCTAAGGGAATCCCAGCAGTTTAGCCTCAAAAGCATCTTTAATGACAGGAAATATTTCTCCTTTCCTGACTTAGATTTCCTGTTTCATAAATCCAATGATCTGGGATTCTTCAAAGGCATGGGATTTGCTACTGGAGTGTTTTCAGCTGCATGCAGTAGGGTCATCTCGTATGATCACTGTCATTTGGAAATATGCCTTGATTTAAATTTTGACTTCCAACCAAAACATTTTTTTTTTATCTTTTCTTGGTGCTGCATGATTTAAGGCAGTGCTGAAGTTTCTGAACAGAATATTTCTTTCTATAGGAGATAAATATGTAATCTGGGTCCTAAGATTACATTTTTAAGCAAGTATTCTTACTATTTATTTGGAGAATTTGCCATTCTAAGCTTTGCATATGACATTTAATTTTCATGATTCTATCAGTAAGGAAAACTATTTCAAAAGAATGCAGGTTTTTGGGACATTTAAAATTTTTTTTTTATTTCAAAGTATTATGGGGGTACAAATGTTTTTGGTTACAAGGATTGCTTTTGTAATGCTTAAGTCAGGGTTATAAGTAAGCCCATTATCCAGATAGTGTTCACTGTACCCATTAGATAGGTTTTCCCCCATCCACTCTTCCCCTTCCCCCCGATTGATTTCCATTGAATTATGCTTCCCTCTATGCATATGTGCGCTCATTGGTTAGTTCCAATTTAACAGTGAGTACACGTGATGTTTGTTTTTCTATTCTTTAGATACTTCATTTAGGATAATGGTCTCCAGTTCCATTCATATTGTTGAAAAAGGCATTCAGTCATTCTTCTTCATGGCTGAGTAATATTCCATGGTATACATATACCATATTTTATTAATCCAATCATGAATTGATAGGCATTTGGGTTGATTCCACATCTTTGCAATTGTGAATTGTGCTGCAATAAACATTTGAGTACAGATGTCTTTTTGATAAAATGACTTCTTTTCCTTTGAGTAAATACCCAGTAGTGGGATTGCTGGATTGAATGGTTGGTCTACTTTTAGTTCTTTGAGGAATCTCTATACTGTTTTCCATAAAAGTTGTACTAATTTGCAGTGCTACCAACAGCATATAAGCATTCCTTTCTCTCTGCATCCATGTCAGTATCTATTGTTTTTGGACTTTTCAATAAAAACCATTTTAACAGGGGTGAG